TGGATCTCTATGAATTCAAGGCCAGCCTGGTCTACATAGTGAATTCCAGGCCAGCTGAGGCTACAGGGAGACCCTGTCTCAAAAACTACGTGTATATGCCATTTCCCTTACAAGTATCATTGCTGTTTGGGTTTAGGGACATTTTTTAAATAATATTTTATTTATTATTATTTTAATTTTTGTGTATGAGTATATTGCCTGTTTGTATGTAAGTACACCCATTTTGTGAAATGTCCATGAAGGTCAGAAAAGTGCATTGGATTCCAAAGAACTGGAGTTATAGATGGCTGTTAGCTGACATGTGGGTGCTGGGGACTGAACCCGGGTCCTCTGCCCAGTTCTCTTAACTGTTGTGCCATTTTTTTAAATTAAAAATAAAAAATGTGGGGTGTGGCAGAGACAGGAGAATTGCCTAGAAGCTCACAGGCCAGCTAGATTGGAGTATGCAGCCCAGTAGCAGAAATGAGAGGCCCTGCCTCAGCAAGGCGGAAGTTGAGAACTGACTCTCAAAAGTTGCCCTCTGACCTTCACAAGCTACACATGCGGTGCCATGGATGTGAGAACCTGAACACACACACACCAAATAAATAACAAATAAACAAACAAATAAAAAAGATGTATATTATATAAAATAAACTTCCCAATTCATTGGAATTATTAAAGGGAAACTTTTATTTATGTATGAATGATTTGCCTGCATGTATGTAAGTGTACCACATGCACTTCTGGCGCCTGCAGAGGCCAGAAGAGGGTCTCAGATCCCCTGGAACTGAACTTAAGGACATATTAAACACTCTGACTGACTAAAATGCATTAATATATATAAATCCTTGCATTCAAAATAGTACTGAACACAAACCATTCCTTAAAATGGAAAACTTTTCATTTGCTGCCATGAGCAGTGACCACTGATAGGTAGAAACATTCAGATATCCTGAAAAATCTGTGTGTGCGTGTGTGCACACATGTGCATGTTTGTTACATAGTACATCACATGTAGAGGCCAGATTGATGCTTAGTCTTCCTCTATAGCTCTCCACATTAGTTTTGAGACAGGGTCTCTCTTACTGAACCTGAAGTTTCAGGTTTCAGCTAGACTGACTAGCCATTAAGATCTTAGGATCCTCCTGTTTCTGAACCCCCGCCCCCCAGTGCTGAGGTTACAGGTGTATGCCAGTGTACCAGGCTTTTACATGAGTTCTGGGGATCCAAACTCAGGTCCTCATGCTTACACAGCAAGCACTTTACCCATTGAAACATCTCCCCAACCCTGAAAGTATGTAATTAAAAGGAAAGGAATATTTATTCTGCCTTATTAGTAGAAAGCATATTTCAATGTAACCAAATTCATACCAGTAAAGTGAAATTTATTTTAAGATTTCCAAAATGGTTCAGTATTAGGATATCTACTAATAACGTTCCTTATTATGGATCTAAGGGGACATCAAATGATCATCTCCCCAGGTATTGAAAAAGTAGTTGACAAAATTAAGTCTCAATTTTAAAAAATCACCTCAGAGGACAAAATTACATACCTTTTCTCTTCCAGTACTGGGGATCAAATTTAAGGATGTCTATATCAGGTGAGTGCTCTCCTGAAATAACTCCCAGCCCCTACATAATTTTAATATAATATTTTTATTAATTATTTGAGAATTTCATATATTCATATAGTGTATTTTGATCATATTCATTCCCAATCCTCCCCTTAATTTCTTCCAGCTCTTCTTCCACCTCCCCACCCCTTCCCAACTCTGAGTCATCTTTTTTTTTTTTTAACTCACTAAATACAATTTATATTACCCATCTACTCATGGATATGGGCCTATCCACTGGAGCACTGTCAACGTACAGGGTCACACCCTTAAAGAAAACTGACTCTGCCTCTCACAAAAATTTTTCTTCCATGGTTGTGCTGTCTTTGATTTCAGTTCAGTTTCAACTGTCAATAGTTCCTCAACTAGGGTCCTACATAATTTTTTTGTCATAATAAAATATTTGATTTTAGATCTAAATAGAGTGGAACTAATATATGAAAGAAGCTGTTCATAGTGAGGCAGTAACAGTAGAAGCATTTTGAGTAAAGTAGTAATAAGTAAGGCAAGAGTATAGCCACTATCATGTATCACTGTAGTAAATGTAATAGCCAATGCAATTAGGTAGGAGAAAGATGTCAGAAATATAAAAATTGAAAGGAAGAAGGAAAACTAGCACTGTAGCTTTGACTCAAGAGACTGTATTGCCTATCTGGAGTTAAACTGGTAAGCAATCTCAACTCTCATACACTTCACTTTCCAGTGCAGAGTCAAATACAGAAATACTATAAACTTGAAGTCCTAGCATGGGTAGTTAAGTCAAAATAACTATCTTGGTAGTTAAGTCCAAATAACATCTGCAACATCAACTCTTGGGGAGCTGAGGCAGGAGACTATCTGTGAGTTTGAGGTCAACTTAGACTGCATAGCAGCACGGTCCCAAAAAGAAAACAGTTTATTTTGCTTCCTTAGTCCTCACAGTGCCTTGAAAAAAAGCAAAGCACGTAGTAGTAGTTCAATTAATGCTTTTATTTTTGAGACAGAGCCTTGCCACATAGCCCCTGCTGGCCTGCAATTTGAAGCAACTCTCTTGCTTCAGCTTCCCATATGCTAGGATTACATGTGGGAGCCACCACCCCCAGCCAACAAACATTTCTTGCATAACTATAGAATTATTTCTTTCAAGCTCTGCTTGTGCTCACGCTATTGTTCTACTAGCTTTTCAACAAAGGAGATAGATCATCAGTTGGACACACAACAAAGTGTACCTGTGGCTGATGGTATCAGGAACATGTATCTTCAGGTCTTCCATGACATCTTTCATCACCCTCTGGTAACCAGACATTCCTGGATCTTTGATATAATGAGTATTATTTCTCATTAAATATTCCCCCAAATAATTAATTGGGTCAAACTTGGCTGGAATGTCTGCTTTGGTCAAAAGTTTCTTCTTTTCTACTTGCATTAACATTTGTTCTACACCAGGAATCAAGGTGGGTAGAAGGTTATCCAGCAGATACACACGGGTGGTCAAAGTCATGCTTTCAGTGTTAAACCACTCTTTGGCCAAGTTATCCTCAGGGAGCTTTTTTGCAATCTTTTGCTCTTGTTCCTTCTTCAGGGCCCCCTGCTCTAGCATTCTCTGCTGCATTGCCTGGGCCCTTGCTTCCATTCTCTCACAAAGATTTTTCTTCCATGGTTGCACTGTCTTTGATTTCAGTTCAGTTTCACCTGTGCCAAAAATCACTTTTGCAGGTTTTCTAATCACAACATTCTTTGAAACTGCATGAGAATCCTTTGTTAAATCAATTGAGGATTTTGGCTGCACTTCTAAGAAGAAAAAAATTAAATGTAAGAAATTCTAGAGACAGAGTTTAATCGACAGCTTCAGAATATATTTAACAACAACCAACCCACTCAAAATGGTTGTGCATGGTACATTGGGATACCATCAGCTAAAACAGAAAGTCTGACAACAATCACCCCATAAAAGGAATTTTCTGTTGATCTAATCAGAAATCATTCAGCAGCTCACTGCTTTTATTGATTAAGCTGTTGCTATTGCTCTCTCTGTCTGTCTCTCTCTGTGTCTTCATGTCTGTCTCTCTCTGTGTTTCTCTCTCTCTCTCTCTCTCTCTCTCTCATAAGCTCTCACTATGTACCTCTGGTTGACCTCCAACTCTGGCTCCTATCCCTCCTCTTTCCCTCTTTTCCTTCCCTCCTTCTCTATCTCTTCCTTCTTTTCATCTTTCACATGACTGTATTTAGAGATTGAGAGGTAAGAGGTGGAGAGAAAACTAGAAGATGCAGGAGAAAAGATTAGATCAGGGTCTGGAGAATCTGAGGAGATGGGAGTGAGACATTTTTATACTAAACTCAGAGGGCACATTCAACTGGGGCATTCCATCTAACGGCTTCCATATTTTTGTTTATTTGTTTCTTTGCTTTTTTGAACAGGGTTTCACTATGTAGCCCTGACTAGTCTGGAACTCACTAGGTAGACCTGGCTGGCTCTGGACTCACAGAGATCCACTTGTCTCTACCTCCTGAGTGCTGGGATTATTATTATTATTATTATTATTTATTTTTGTTTTTGTTTTTTTTTGACACAGGGTCTCTTTGTAGCCCCAGCTGGTCTGGAACTCACTGTGTAGACCAGGCTGGCCTTGAACTTACATAGATCCACCTACCTCTGCCTTCCAAGTGGTGGGATTCCATGCCTGGCTCCACACTCAGTATTTTTAAAAATTACTTAATTATTTATTTTTATTTTAAAGTGTATGAGTGCTTTGCTTGCATGCATATAAGCATACCACATGCATGTAGTGCCCACGGAGGCCAAAAGAGGGCATTGGCCCTGGAACTGGAGTTACCCAAACTTAGCTGCTTTTCCAAGCAAGTTTGAAAGTATCTGAGATTGAAAACAACTTATTTTTCATGACATCAGTACATAGAATTATAAGGCTTTTTTCCTAGTACAACTATCTTGTCCCTGGGTTCCAAACTCACACTCTGAATGTTAAGCTATCAGACACTTTTTCTATACCCATGATTATTGAGATGATTGGAATGGAAGAATTAATGGCAATCTTAAGATTTTTTTTCTGACATGGCTATGGAGATGAAGTCGTTTGAGTCTTTTTAGATATTACCCACTGAATATAAGTGCCCAAAATAGGATCGTGGCTCTGCATTGTTATTTTGCTTCTGTTACTTTGTAGATGCAGGAAAAATAGAAACTTATTGGGATTTTTTTCTATATTAATTTTTAATACAACTGAAAAGTCATTATTGAGACATGTCTTAATCATTAATCACGCCCAATAAAAACTACTACTGCAAAAAAAAAAAGGAAAGAGGCCAACTTCAGAGCACAACAACTTCAGTGTAGTAGCTTTTAAAAAACCTTATTTAATATGAAGTATTCAAGGCCTGCAAATACAATTATAATATGCTAAACAGACATGTATGTAATTTTGGCTTAAGAAATTATCTACATATTAATGTCTCTAATATAGTTCTGTACTTATCCTCTCTGTGCATCTATATTCTATGGTTTTTATTTTAAACAAATTTTTTTAAATTTTATTCTTTTATGTATATGAGTGTATTGCCTGCATATGTGTAAGTGCACCCATGTCATGCAGTACCTGCAGAAGTCAGAAGAGGGTGTCTGATCCCCTGGAACTGGAGTTATGGACAGTTGTTAGCTGCCATGTGCATGCTGGGAATTGAACTCTGTGCTCTTAACTACTGAGCTGTCTTTCCAGCCCTGGTTCTTTTGGGTTTTTTTTTTTTTTTGTCTTTTTGAGACCTTGCTATGTAGTTCAGGCTGGACTTGAACTCACAAAGATCCACCTGCCTCTGCCTCCCAAGTGCTGGGATTAAAGGCATGCACCACCACACCCAGCCCAGCCCTTGTTCTTATGTTTAATACTATTATTGGAAATTTTATCTAGATTGATAGCTATAGCTACCTTATGTACTTTTCATTGTGGCAAAATATTTTGTCATATGACTGTATTGTAATGTTTCTATCGTTTTTTTTAAGACATTGGATTGTTTTCAGCTTGTTTTTATTTTTTTAATTAAAAATTTTTTATTTTATGTGTGAGTGCATGCCTACAAATATGTAAGTGCACCTGTGTCATGCAATGCCTTCAGAGGCCAGAAGAGAGCATCAGATCCTCTGGAATTACAGATGGTTGTTATAGATGGTTGTTAGGCGCCATGTGGGTGCTGGGAATTGAACCTGGTTCCTGTGCAAGAGCAGCCAGTGCTCCTAACCACTGAGCCATCTCTCCAGCTCAAGCTTGTTTTTATTTCTATAACAGATAATCTTAATGCAAAAATTATTACATGTGTCTCCTTATGTGCCTATTTAGGTTTCTCTAAAGTATATTACTGAGATTTTTTTTTTTTTTACATTGATTGATTGTCATGGCATGCATGTGGAGGTTAGAGGACAATTTTCAGAAGCTGGTTCTTTCCTTCCACCGTATGGGTTCTGGGGATCCAACTCAGATCATCAGGCTCAGTGGCAAGTGCCTTTATCCACTAAGCCTTCTCATCAGCCCGTTACTGAGATTTTAATTGCAGGGTGTTATAGTTTGAGTACTTTTTTTTTCTTTTTGGTCTTTTTGAGACAGGATCTCCCTGTAGCCCCAATTGGCCTGGAACTCACTAATGGAGACCAGGCTGGCCTCGAACTTATAGAGATCCACCTGCCTCTGCCTCTCTGAGTACTAGAACTAAAGGTGTGCACCACCATGCCCAGCTTAGTTTGAGTGTTTATATCCCCACAAAATCTATATATTGGAACCTAAGATTCAACATAACAGTATCAGGAGGTAAGGCACCTAGGGAAGTGATTAAGTCAAGGATGAAGGACTAGAAGAGGGCTGGAGAGGTGGCTCAGCAGTTAAGAGCACTTACCAGCCTTGCAAAGAACCCAAGTTCAGTTCCCAGAACCTAAATGGGGCAGTTGAGAACTGCCTGTAACTTCAGCTCCAGGTATCTGATCCTGCCTTCTGGCTTCTGTGGGTACCTGCACTAACATGTGCCGGGGGTTCAAACGCGACCCCAGGGCAGTGATGATTGGGGATGAGTAAGCACGTCGTTTGCCAGCCCACACCGCCCCCAGTACTGGGGACACTCAGATGAAACAGGGAGTCTAGTTAAGCAGGGACTCATTTATTGCAGGTGTTACAAAGCTTATAAAGGCACCTGGAAATCCCCCTCCCCCCAGGGTGTATCTTAAGGATGGTCATGCGCTGATCATGCACTCCTCAGCAGTGCGGAAGTATTCTTCAGACTTTCAAAGCAAGCCAGGCCACGCCCCCAGTAACTTCCTTTCGGACCTATGCAAGGTGGGGTCTTTAGGTCCCCACAACATGGTGCACATAAACATATGCTGGCAAACACACATACACATAAAATGTCTTTAAAACCTTAGGAACTGGCTAGGCCCTTTTTATTGCCCCTTCTACCTCTTGGCCATTTGAAGATACAGTGTGCTTATCTCCTCCAGAGGATACCACATTCAAGGTGCCATGTGGAAGCAAATTCTGAGCCCTCACTAGACATCAAATCTGCTAGTGCCTTGACCTTAGATTTCCCAGCCTCCATAACTGTGAACAATAAATTTATGCTGTTTATAAGTTACCCTAGTCTGTGATTATTTTGTTATAGCAGCAGGAAGGACCAAAACACGTGGTCATAAGTATAAGCATTACAGTTGGATGAAATATTATTAAATTATTTTCCAGAGTAGTTGGTACCAATTTATATCACCATCAATATAAGAGTCTTGTTGTAGAGCAGTGGTTTTTGAATTGTTCTTCTCAGGACCATAAAAAGGAACTTCAAGGAGCTGGAGAGATGGCTCAGCCATTAAGAGCACTAACTGCTCTTGCAGAGGACCCAGGTTCAATTCCCAGAACCTACATGGCAGCTACAAACCATCTTTAACTCCAGTTCCAGGGGAATCTGAAGCCCTCTTCTGACCTCCACATCATTGCACGACATGGGTGCACTCACATACATGCAGCCAATATATTCATATACATAAACTTTAAAAAGTAATAAAAATAAAATTTTTTAAAAAAAGGAACTTCAAAAGTCATAGGACTCTACACTTCTTGCATCCTTCATGGCCAGAGCAAGTATGCTTCAACTGATTTTGCATAATTGATGACTAGTATAAGATTTTATTTAAAAATGGGCTTTGAAAAAAAGGGAGGGTTGCTGCCTTTAAAAACTGTTGAAAAACCAATACTCTGGAATAAATTATTTCTTCCCCAGGGAAAAATTAAACAACCTATGAAGAAACCCTTGACAGCTCATATATAGAACATCTTGAGTCCAGTGGTGGATAGGATTTGCGAACTTCTCTTAAGGTTTTGATTTCCTCCTTGGCCAGTTCTCTCATTCCAAGAAGAGAAAATTGAGGGGAGGGCAGCAAAAGGCACTCTCTCACTTGTCAGTTGAATCTGCAAATAAATTAATCAGTTGGTAAGGGAAGTGGGTAGGGGATGTCTACATTTTGCTTTGTCACCGTGATGGTGTTGATTGTCAACTTGAGAAAAATCTAGAATCACCTGGGACTCTGGGCATGCCTGTGAGAGGTGATCTTGATTGTACAATTGAGGTGGAAAGACCTACCCACACTGGGTAGGGTCATTCCTTGACTGGGATCCAGGATTGTGCAAGAGTGGAGAAGGCAAACTCAGCACAGGCATACATGCTCTGGGCTCTCGACTGTAGATGTAAAGCAACCAGCTGTTTCCAGTTCCTGCCACTGACTTTCATGCAATGGACTCTGACCTGGAAGAGTGAGTCAGTAAACTCTTTCTCCCTTAAATTACTTTCGTCAGAGTATTTTATCATAGCAACAGACAATGAAACTAAGTCAGTCACAATACTTATTAATATATAATGCTATGTCTTTATTTTAGATGAGTGTGAAAGAGCAATTCTTTTAAGTCTACAGACTTCAATGTACTGTCTTTTCTCTTAATATGTCCAGCACAAACTAAAGCATATATACTTTGCTTGATTTAAGAAGAGGGCTTTACATGCATAGCAACTTACTACCCATCTGTGATGGCTCATTAGTAAAGCCCCAAACAAATGAGGGTGTTCTCTCTGTTCAGTGCAGCCTACTGGTGTTCCTCCAGCATACTAAACCACTACGGGTTGCTAAGCAATAATCCTAGTGCTTGCATTGTTCCCACAGACACGAAGAATGAAAGTAGACATGTGTTTGGTTACAACTCTAGTTAAACGCTTCTCTTTTAGAGCCATAAAATCAAGAAAAGAGAAAGAGGCAAAGCAATAGCAGGGTCAACAAATCAGGACTCTATTTGAAGCTGTCTTTTGACTGGGTGACTTTTGAATTCAAGGATCAGAAATTATAGAACTGCCCCAAGGGCAAGTTAATTTAGAGGTTTAATTAAATATAGTTTCCAGTGGGTACTAGGTTTTTCAGGAGTCTGAGCTTAGACATTCCTAAACCTCTTACTGATAGACTGGTTCCTTCATTTACATACTCACTCAGTACATAATGACTGATTTCTCAGTATATACCAGTTAAGCACTATAATTTTTTTTCAAGATCAATTTTCTAAACTCTTCCTAGAATTAAGAGCCTTTCAAGCACTGCCCTGACATGTGTATCTTTACCTCTTTAGCCACTAGTCAACTTTTAACATACAAAGACCTACTGAGGCATAAATACTTTCAACTAATTAGGTAGGTACCCAAAGAATTCCTTGTTCATAATTTGAAAGTTCTAGCCTTTAAAAGTGACTTTGAGGGGGCTGGAGAGATGGCTCAGTGGTTAAGAACACTGACTGCTCTTGCAGAGGACCCAGGTTCGATTCCCAGCACCCACATGGATGCTATGAACCATCCTTAATTCCTGTTCCAGGGGAATCCAAAGCCCTCTTCTGACTTCCACAGCTTTGCACGACATGGGTGCCCTCACATACATGCAGGCAATACACTCATACACATAAAATAAAAATAATAAATAAGAGGCTGGAGAGATGGCTCAGTGGTTAAAAGCACTGACTGCTCTTGCAGAGGACCCAGGTTCGATTCCCAGCCCCACATGGATGCTATGAACCATCCTTAATTCCTGTTCCAGGGGAATCCAAAGCCCTCTTCTGACCTCCACAGCTTTGCACGACATGGGTGCACTCACATACATGCAGGCAATACACTCATACACATTAAAAAAAAAAAAATAGGGGCTGGGCCTGGTGACGCACGCCTTCAATCCCAGCACTCTAGAGGCAGAGGCAGGTGGATCTCTGTAAGTTCAAGGCCAGCCTGGTCCACATAGTGAATTCCAGGACAGCTGGAGCTACAGGGAGACCCTGTCTCAAAAAGACCCCCCCAAATAAAAAAAATAATAAATTAAAAAACGGCATTAAAAGTGACTTTGAAATTCCCTGCAATGAATAGACATAACCAAATATAAAATCTATCTAAGGATATAAATGGGCACTAATTATAATCTACATTATCATAAATCTTAGCAGGCTCTTCCTAATGATTGATAACATTATTGGGGCTGGCTACTGGTGAAAACTAACCCAGCAGAGTTATTCAACAAACTGTATGCTATCCTTCTTTAAATACAGGCTCTGTCTGAAACGTAGCTGCTTTGAACTTATCAGGATTTCTCAACATAATGCAAATGTTTGCTAAGAAAGGAGGAGGAAAAGAAGCTCTACCAAACAGTTGGAATTGAAATGCAATTGATACAGGAAAACAGAGTTTCCTACAGAACTTTGTTAATCTTAGAGCTTGTGCAAATAGAATAGATCTGGGAAAACCAATAGATTTTTGTTTTTGTTTTTTAAAAGGATTTCTGAAAGTCCAAATTAAACTCATAGCCCGAAAAGTTAAATGACTGGTATAAAGAACTGACACGGTACATTTAACCACAGCACGTTCTATTCAAAGAAAGATATTTGAGTGCATTTTAGAGGCTGCTTGGCAAGATAATATTTTAATTTTGTCAAGTATATAACAAGGATTGTGACACTTCCTTTGACACATTGAAATTGCAGCACTTCTTTTACATATATATGTTGTATGTTATATATGCATACTTATGCTAAAAGATATTCTGAATGTAAGGTTTAACTGCAATTCATTACTGAGTGAGTAAGAGCACTGCATCTTATCTGATATCCTATCAAGCAACCATGGCGTTTTCAGTACACACACACACACACACACACGTGTGCACACACACACTGATATACTGAGAGGAATAAAACTCAAGCCAACAAACAGAGCATACTTCCCTCCACTACACATAGAAAGACAGCCAGGGAAATAGCACCGGAACAGGAATGTTAACAAAGTCTTGATTATATTTGGGAGGGAGGGTGGGTGCAATAAATTTCCCAGTAAAATATATGCATGACGTCTTGCAAGTACAAATTTGACCACAAACTAATCAAAGTAAACAGTTACTTAAATTTAAAATCAAGTACCTCGATCATAATACTGTCTGGCATGTTTAAAATGAAAGAATTGATATATAAAGCTGGCCCAACAGATTAAAGAAAAGACAGAGTGTGCTTATGGGGTATTATTGGTAGGAGGGTAGTAAGGAGGAAGTAAAAATTGGGAAACCAGAGGACAACAGAGTAGCACTGGGGCTGGCAAAGTGGCTCCGTGGGCCAAGACATTTACAGCCAAGGTGTGCATATGTACATACACACACACACACACACACACACACACACACACACACACACACACACTTACACATGTTAAATAAATAAAAAGAAAAGTTAGAAAACTGAAAATAACACTAAGTAAGGAAGATAGGGGCTGGAGAGATAGTTCAGTGGTTAAAAGTGCTTGCCGTTCTTGCAGAGGACTCAAATTTGGAACCCAGCACCCACATCAGGTGGCTCAGAACTGCCTATAACTCCAGTTCCAGGGGATTCAACACCATCTTACGATGAACTCTACAGGCACTCTCACACAAAAGCACACACAAAAGCATACACACACACACATTAAAAAAAAAAAATCTAAAGAACAAAAAGGCAAACTAAGGATTGGAAAGTTTAATTCTTAATATGCATATATTATGATGTAGATCAATAAGAACAATAATAAATAATTGCTTTTAATTCATTTAAAAGAAAAACAATTCAGAAAAAGTAAACACTGAAAAATTATAACTAGCATTTATATAGAAATTATGTAGTTTAAAATTACTTCTTTTTTTTCAATTTTTTGCAGGTTTTTTATTGGGGTTTATATGGGTTGGAAAGGTAACCTTAGGGCATGCCCCTCCCCCCAAGAAATGTCCATTCTAATCCTCCTGAGGTATTTCTGGAACTTTTTCTTTGTGCCACTCTTGTTGTCAGCATAAAATTACTTTTATAATTATTTTTTAATTCAGCCTAGCCCAGACAAACACATATTAAACACCCAATACTTGGAAATTGAATTAAAGGGAATTTATACAGAAATTGTTAAATTTTAAATATTGTAAAATATTTTTGTTGGTACAGGATTTCACTAAGAATCTGGACTTGAAAATGAAAGAGATGAATGTTTATACATTTGAGGCCTTTTCGATTCTGTCGTTTCTTTTTAAAATTTTTATTTTACTTTGTGTATGAGTGTATTGCCTACATACACATGCATCCACATAGTGCAATGACTGAGGAGATCAGAAGGTGTTGGATTCTCTGGAACTGGAGTTACAAACAATTGTTAGCCACCATGTGGATGCTAGAAATCGAACCCAGTTCCTCCACAAGAGCAGCAAGTGCTCTTAACCACTGAGCCATCTCTCCAGCCTCGATTCTGTCAACTTTCAATTTGTGTAATTCTATGAAATTTTGGTAGAGAATATGTCTAATCAAGTTTTGGGTCACGTAGAAAAAAAATGAGTCGTCAAGAATGAACAGAATCAAAAAGAGTAAGCAGACAAGGTCAGTAGAATTCTTCATTTTATTTTTTACGTTAATATGTTGTCTGATAGAAATCTCTTAGCTCTCTTAGTAAATTTTTCTCTTTAATTAATTAATAGAAGACAAATTAGTCATGAAGTTAACTCAAAAACATTTGTAAAAGATGAGGTAATTTACCTTAACCTACTGCCTCAATTACATTTAAAAGATCCTCCTGGGATTATATTTTTTGACATATAAAACCTCGAAGAATGCATCCCACACGAAAATTCAGTGTCAGTTTTAGATTCTACTGTATAGGGAGAAAGGCTAGTTCTCTACCTGGAGACTTTGTTTCATTCTTTGTTTCTTCCATCACATGATTGCTGGACTCTGTTGCAGAAACATCTGGTACCCTTTGTGGACTTTGTGAACTCTTTGAAAGAAGCAAAGAAACACCAATTTCAAAATGAGTTGCTTTTCCTCAAACCTGTATCATCTTTCAATTAAAGGGGAGTTAACTACTTTGTAGGAGTTACTAAATACCCCTACTTCCTTTTCCTAGGATTTAATGTTGTGTGTTAAAAGCAAATCACAAGTTTTTTACTGCATTCACATTATAAGATATATTGTGTATCTTCCTATTGCCAATGAAATAATATGCCTGAAGTATCATTCCAGTTGTACACTGATCCTAAATCATACGATACTTTCTACAAATATAATCTGAGATTGTTTTATAGTAAAATTTGACCTTTGAAAATGCCACTTTTCAAAAATTGCTAGAAGACAAGGCATGGTGGTGCATGCTTTTAATCCCAGCACTCTGGAGGCAGAGGCAGGCATATCGTCAGGAGTTTAAGATCAGCCTGGTCTACATAGGGAGCTCCAGGCCAGCCAGGACTACATAGTGAGACCCTGTATCAAAAAACAAAACAAAACAAACAAACAAAAATTGTTAGAAATATCTTCTATGTTTGTGGTAGAAAGAAAAACATTTCATCTTAGTTGAGGAAATTAAACATTAACTTTATGATGACAGTAAAGTCATTTTTAATACTCTTGCTGATTTACTTTAAAAATAATAACAGGATATTTACTTTTGGGGTGGGGGTTTAGACAGGGTCTTGTTATGTAGTCTTGGCTGGCTTGGAACTTGCTTTGTAGACCAAGCTGGCCTGGAACACTCAAGAGCTCTGCCAGCCTCTGTCTCCTGAGTGCTGGTTAAAGGCATGTGCCACCAAGCCTGGCAATGATACAATTATTATAGAATTAAAAATTAATATTAGTCAGCCTAATGTGAATTCTTGCAATATTTTTCAACTGCCTCCTTTTTTATTTATTTATTTTTATTTTATATGCATGATTGTTTTGCCTGCATGTATGTAAGTGCACACTGAGTGTGATGCCTGCAGAGGCCAGAAGAGGGCGTTGGGTCCCTTTCAACTGCCATGTGGGTGCCAGGAACTGAACCCAGGTCCTCTGCAAGAGTAACAAAGCACTCTTAACTGCTGAGCCATCTCTCCAGCTTCCAATTGCTTTTTGTAAAATGTGTTCTTCATCATTGTAATTTTGTATTTTTAAATGCAGTTATCTGGATAATTAATGTGGAAATTACATTTTCAGTATAACAGTGAAGTTGCCCTAAAAATTGGTGGTTCTTAAAGTAACCATTCTGATTTTAGAAAGCAGTCTTTGTTTATCTGTAATTTGTAATAGCTTTTTACAAATAATTTACTTGCCTATGGGAATTTCCTGTAACTGAAAAAAAAAAAAAAAGCCTAAAAACCAATTGGCTTAATAATCAACATGAATTTTCCCTTTTGTATTTGCTGTTTTATCTTTCTGAACACCCATATTTATTTCTCTTTTCCTTCTTCATAAGAAATTAGCCTATGGGGCTGGAGAGATGGCTTAGCGGTTAAGAACACTGACTGCTCTTGCAGAGGACCAGAGTTCGATTCCCAGCACCCACATAGCAGCTACAAACCGTCCTTAACTCTAGTTCCAGGGGAATCCGAAGCCCTCTTCTGACCTCTGCAGCATTGCATGACACAGGTGCACTCACATGCAGGCAATACACTCATACACAAAATAAAAATAATAAATAAAATATTGTTTAAAAAAGAAAGCCCATCTAGTTTACTCTCTTAAATTAATATCTGATTATGCATGGCAACTCTACCTCAATAGGCTCCTTTGCTTCTGCAGAGTCTTGCTCCTGTTCTTTGTCTTCATTTCCATTCTCCTGAAGTAAAAAGTGTTAGCAAATGGTATCAAAAAGGACCTGAGGATTGAGATAACTGGCACATTTTGATACACCAAATGCTTTATTTTTTTAAGATGTCACATAATGAACTGAGCGTGGTGGTGCACGCCTTTAGTCCCAGCACTCAGAGGCAGGTGGATCTCAGTGAATTCAAAGCCAGGCTGCTCTACATAATGAGTTCAGGTCAGCTGGGGTTACAGGGAGACCCTGTCTCAACACTCCCCCCCAAAAAAATGTCATATAATGAGTAAATATCATTCTAAATAAAATTATACAAAGTAGTTGCGTTTTAAAATTCAGTTATGGCCGGGCGTGGTGGCACACGCCTTTAATCCCAGCACTCGGGAGGCAGAGGCAGGCGGATCTCTGTGAGTTCAAGACCAGCCTGGTCTACATAGTGAGTTCCAGGACAGCTGGGACTACAGGGAGACCCTGTCTCAAAAAGACCAAAAAAAAAAAAAAAAAAAAAAATTCAGTTATAAAGACTTGTTAGCCAGGTACAGTGGCACATGCCTATAATCCTAGCACTTGGGTGATTGAGGCAGTAGGATCACTACAAATCCTAGGCCAGCCTAGGCTACACAGCAAAACCTTGCCTTTCCCCCACCTTCCCCCCTCAAACCAAAACAAGAAGACATTATGCTATAATTAAGGCATGCCATCCAGCTAGAAGCAAGTCACTATGATCCATGTTTTGACCCTTTTCCTTCAAACTCCACATTTCTATCAAAGCTTCATGCAGAATATTTCAACTAAAAGGAAATATTAAGTGATTCAGTAAGATACTGAATCACAATTTTCCTAAGAATGCTGAATTTCAAATTATCTCATAAATAGTTAAAAACAAATGAAAGCCAGGAACCTGATCAGGTTTGGGTTGCTCTTGTGATGTTGATGACTCACTCATTTGACCACTAAAAAAAATTAGCAAATGATATGGAAAACTAATGCCAAGACAATCTTAATAACAAAAAGACAAAGAAAATGTTAATAGGCAACAAAAAGTACTCCTCAGAAAGCTCAAAATCTCCCTCACTACCAACCCCCACTACACCCCACCATTCTATTGAATGGTCATAAATTCTCAACTGCTGAACTTTTCAAATTGTACTACTGTTATAACCGTTACTGACTAAACCCAGGGCAATGTTTAACTGGTGTTCAGGGAGACAGGGAAACTCATAGCCCCTGTCACCATTGTCATTTTTAAGACAGATATAATAATGCAGTTGAATTTTTAAACATTATTATCACTTTCATTAACTTTTAAGTATTTTATATTTTGAGACTAGGTCTCGTTAGTATAGCAAAGGCAGGCAGACCTCTAATCTGTCTCAGTCTCCCAAACACCGGGATTACAGGTATATACCACCATACCCAGCTACCCAGCTTCCTTGTTAAGTTTTGAAACAGTAATTAAGGTAAGGGTAAAGTAGATCTTTGATGTCTACCTAATTCATGTATCTGGTTTATTTATTTATACTAAGGAATTAAGGTGACTTCAATAAAAATGACTGCGGTCCTAGTTGCAAATTATAAAATCATTGCTGTGCCAAAAATCATGTATGAGTTTGGTTACATATAGACCAAGGGCTATCTATGTGAACAGTAAATTATTGCTGGGTGTGGTGGTAGACTCCTGTAACCCCTGCACTTCCTGCACTCAAAGGGCAGGGGCAGGAGGATCACTGATGCAAGGCCAGCAGGGGCTGCACAGTGAGGTCTTATCTCAAAGGGAAGAAAGAAGAAAGGAGTAAACTATATACATGTGGTCTCTGTCTCCAGGGCAGTTCTAATCTAGCTAGGCACTTTAATTTCAAATGGTATGTATAAAACACATTATAGCAATCATTTTCTTTTTAGCAACATAAATTCTAGTTGAATAATCCAAAAGTATGGCCACTAGGGACAATAGATTACAACACAGGAAGAGCTGTCTCAAAGTCTTTTTTAAATAGCTCATAAATAATAAATAATATAAAATAGAATTCTGTGTTAGGTCCTAACTATACATTGTTTGCTTTTGGTGTCTCTCTCCTGAAAGTTTCTATTTCTTTTAAAATCTATTTCATTTGGTTATAACCAGAAGAAAATCCAGTTCAACAGCCTTCATTGATTGAGTGCCTTCTGTATGGAAACAGATGCTGGGGTTAAAAAAAAAGATGAGCAAGTTTCCAGTTTAGGAAGGAGAAAACAGTGGGATTCCATCTGCAAAGTGCAAGAGTAGAGGTACAAAAAATATACTGAGGAACAAAAAGGAATAAGCAGTTGTTTTTCTCAGGGCAGAGAAATAGATTTCCAAGGTGGATATTAAAGAACTAGTAAGAAATGTTTGTACAAAGGAGAGGGCAAGGATTTTTGAAGCAAAATAAACAATAACTTCAAGAGTGAAGAAGATGAACCTAAAAAGTAGTTATAGCCAATATGTAGGCTATTATGATAAATCAAAGAGTTGAACTTTATAATATGGTTTTAAAACACAGGATAGAAGTTATCAGAATAGTGTTTTTAAAAGTTAACTCCTCCAGCAACATAGAATATGCACTATAATGTAAAACACTTGAGAAAAAAATAAAGGTAAATTTTGCATCTGCTTTCAGAGAGATTCCCTCACCACTCCTTGCTCTGGTCTAGGCTCTGCCAGACATTGTTAATATCACAATCAGATAAGTACTCTACCACTGACTAACAGACATCTCCAGCTAGTACTAAAACCATATTCCCTCAGGGTCACCGTATATGTCTCTGCTCATATTGGTGGCTTCCGACTACAAGCACTCATACTTCTGTCTAATGATGTTCTGGAATCCAAATACAAGTACTTGCCGTAAGGGCTTGGGGGATAATATGTACAGGAGAAGCCCTCAGACAAAGATGTATAATCCCACTGGCAGGAGATTTCCGAAATATGTTCTATACAGTTTCCCAAACTTCCCCAGGGGTCTTGAGCCCCAGTTCCCCACAGTGAAACCTGTCCAATAAAGCATTAATTCAGCTTCCTCCACTTTCCTATATTACTTCCTACCTCCCTTATCATTGTTTCCTTGAACGACCTCCCAAATCAAATCCTTAGATCTGAGTCTTTTTCTGGGAAAAGCCCCAAACAGGTATAATCATTAGGATTTGGGGCCTTACTGAATGTAAACATTAGAAGAGAAAAAGCAGTTAGGAGACAACTGAGTGGGTTTTTTTTTCTATTCAAAAAGCTGAATGGTTGATGATGTCACTAAGAGAAATAAGGAGAGACTAGATTTGAGAAATGATATTTGAGTTTGTGTTTGGAGTTGTAACATTTGAGCTACTTGCTGGGTTTCCTAATAGAAGTTTCTAGTAGGAGTTTGAAAGCCATTGAAATGTATCATGGTGTATTGGGAGGAAATTATGCACAATCAGGTCCATGGGACATGATGGATGCACGATCTAGTCAGAACAGCATCACCTTGCATTTTAAGTACTTAGTGTGCATAGCATTCTATATACCCTTTATCCCTACCCACAAAACCCTAGAATCAGTCTGCTTAGGTTGTTAGCTAGGGACCAAACCAGTGGAGAGAGCTGAATACCCTCCACACTACTCCTAATTTATTTGTATCTTGGTTAAATTGAGGCATCTGTCATCTTGGTGTGTAGGATAGCCAATCACGTGTGATAGAGTATCCTTGAATAAGGAATGTCCCAGATTAAGAACGCGAAACTCACCTGGCATGGGGGTGCACACCTTTAGTCCCAGCACTTGGGAGGCAGAGGCAGGATCTTTGTGAGTTCAAGGCCAGCCTGGTCTACATAGTTCCAGGACAGCCGGGGCTACAGGGAGACCCTGTCTCAAAAAGACGAAGAAAAGAAAAACAAAAAAAGAAAGCAAAACTCACTCTGATTACTAAAACTAATAGCAATAAAAACTGCATTTTACTTAGATTTCTTGTGGATATGGCCACTTGAGTATTGACAGAAGGATGGAATTCAGGACAATGTGAGGAACTCACCAAGAATAGTTAAGCTGTAAAAAGGCTGATGATAAACCCTTGGTGACAAAGTCTTAAAAGTGGAGCTAAAGGCCAGGCATGGTGGCCCATGCCTTTAATCCCAGCACTTTAATCCTTTAATCCCTTGAGGCAGAGGCTGGCCTGGTCTACACAGAGAGTTCCAGGCCAGTTGGGGCTATAGGGAGACCTTGTCTCAAAAAAAAAAAAAAAAAAAAAAAAAGATTTTTATAAAAAACGAGGGAGCTAGGGAGATGGTTCAGTCAGTAAAGCTCCTGTCACACAAGCATGAAGACCTGAGCTCATATCCCCAGCATCCACATAAAAGCCAGGCATGGTGGCACACATCTGCAACCCTAGCAGTCAGGGGACAGGGTTGGGAGAAGAAATGGAAAAAGGTGGATCTCAGGAGCTGGCCAGCCAGTCTAGCCAATCAGTGAGCTCTGGGTTCAGTGAGAGACTATCTCAAAAAGTAAGGTGGAGAGTCCAGGAAACCAAGGGAAACAAAGGCCATTCAATGTCAATAGTGTCATACGCTAAAGAGAAATCATGGAGCATAAGGACCAAAAATGAATCATTGTACTTACAGCAAGTCAAATGAGAGACAGTACACTGAGTGACTAATATCTATTATTTAATCTAATCTTTCCCAAGGCCTTGAATAAGTAGCCATATTTTAATGCAACAAAACAAAGAGATTAGTTTGCTCAAAGACACACAGAAACTGGTAAAACAGAATGCCAGACAACATCCTAAAACTAGTCTTTACAACACTAATTCATTTATTGACCATTTAACTACAGTAATCAATAGTTACCAAAAGCAAAAGTTGAACAGGAAGTTAAGTTGTTGAGACAGTTCCTAGCATGCTCAAGGCAAGTGATGTCATTAATTTCAAATGTGACCCTTCTAAGAGCTGTAACCAGGGTTGGAAAGCTGCCTCAGTGGTTAAGAGCACTGGCTGCTCTTATAGAGGACAGGGGTTTGACTCTCA